ATATCAAGTCTTGAAGTTAGATACTACAAGTCCTTGTTCTTTCTCAATATTGGTTTTGTCTTTTCTAGGTCTTTGGATTTCTATGCTAATTTTAGAATAGTTTTATTAATTTTAAAATAAAAAGCATGTTGGTAATTTGACTAGGATGTCATTAAATCTGTAGATAAATTTGGAAAATTTTATCAAAAATATTGAGTTTCCAATCCACAGTCATGGTACCTCCATTTTTAAAGTTCTTGTCTAACTCCTTTCAGAAATGTTTTATAGTTTTCCATGTAAACACCTTTCCTAACTGTTATTAAACTTATTCTTAAGTATTTTATGTTTTTGAAACTAATATAACAAGGATTTTTTTCTCATTTTACATCTGTATAAATAAAAATGTAAATGTTCGTTTGTTTAAAATCTTAAATCTCCGAAAGTTCTTTACTAATTGCTTTGAAATTTTGATACAACATTGCATTTGAATACGCGCGTTTTTATATACCTATATACCTACTATTATATAGATGTCACACCTGTGAAAGGTAAAAACATGCTTTTTTTGAAAAACAGCGCCATCTGTTGGACGTAAAAGCAACACAAGCTATACTAAATATTTTAACGATTCCATTTCAATGTTTCTGTTTACAATTATAAACTGTAGATAAAATTGGGAACAGAAAGGTGCCGGTTGATCTAATCTCAAGACAAATCTCATTGCCTCATAACTTCTGCAATTTAGTGACGTCAAAAGAAGAATTGGTTGAAAAAGTATTTCCCAATATTCAAACCAATTATAAGAATCACGATTGGCGGAGTGAATGAGCTATTCTTGCGGCCAAGAACAAAGATGTCTACGAACTTAACAATATTATTCAGTCTAACATTCAAAGCGAGGCAGTCACATACAAGTCCGTCGACACTGTTGTGGAAGTAGATGAAGCGGTTAATTATCCAACAGAATTTTTGAATTCTTCGATCTGCCAGGGATGCCACCGCACATACTGCAATTGAATATTGGTGTGCCAATTATCATGTTGCAAAATATCAACCAGCCAAAGCTTTGCAATGGCACGCAGCTTGCAGTAAAAAAATTAATGAGCAACATCATAGAAGCAACAATCTTGACAGGACCTTTCAAAGGTGAAGATGTCCTCATTCCTCGCATTCCTATGATTCCAACGGATATGCCATTTCAATTTAAGAGATTGCAATTCCCAATTCAATTGGCGTTTGCAATCACCATCAACAAAGCTCAGGGCCAATCTTTAGAATTGTGCGGTTTAGATCTAGACACGGATTGCTTCTCACATGGACAATTATATGTTGTGTGTTCTAGAGTCGGCAAACCAGACAATCTCTATATCTGCACAGACAATAGAACAACAAAAAATATTGTATACCCACAAGCATTGTGAAATTAAACATATTAGAAACGTGCGCTTTCTCTTTTCTTTCTTTTCCATTTAACCAGACTGAGCCACAGCAATGTGTGGCCGGGTACAGCTAGTTGTTAATATAAAGGTATACATTTACGGTCATTTGGTTTTTTATAAATGTTCCAAAACAACTCATTTAGGACAGTACAGTCTTTTTTTGAACAAAAAGTGAAAGAACAACTAGATATCTATGTGAGGAGGAAAAACAAACCTCAACCTATACTTCATATCACAAAAAAATATGAATCCTAGGTGAATCATTCGCCTAAGTTAAAAGCTAAGACTAACAAGAGTCTGGAAGAAAACAGGATTTTCAATATTTCTTGGATCATTGAGCTCTACTTAGTTTTGTGCTAGAGAACATAATCTGTATGATATTAGTCTTTGGCAGTTATTGACGCTTGTTTTATGACTCAACATGTGGTCTATCATAGTGTTTCCTATAAAAGTAAGTGTATTCTATGATAGAGTCCTAATAAATTACGTAAACTTGGTTGATAGCACTTGAAACACTTCCAGATTCTAATCCATCCAGAAATGCCTAAGTATCATTTTAGGCTCCATCTCTATAAAGTCTCTTCATCTCAGGCCTACTTCTTCATCCACCTATATCCACACCCATATCCATGCTCATACCATGCACTGCACCCGGGTATGGAAGGCCACACAGCAACCTGTTCACTTATAAATAGCTTATTTCTATCAGGAATTCAGTTCAAGTCTTCCTTGCCTCCTCCATTCTTAGAGAGCCCCAAAGGAAAGTATGATTTTTATCTTTTAAGCTGCATGGAAATAAAGACCTTTCATATTCTTGTACATTATAATTGAAATGAAAGTTAAAGTTTGTTCTTGTTTTAATAACTTCCTTCCCACTTCCCAATACACCGGGGGTGGGGAACATCCAGCCCACTGGCTGTATAAGGCCCACGAAATCATTTGGTTTGGCCCTGCCACAGCATTAGGGGTGAGTTAATTAAATGTTTGACCGAAACAGCAGGCTAATTTTTAAATTGATAATTCTGTATGGCCCTTGGCAGAAAAAAGGTTCCCCAGCAAAATACTAAAGGTAATGCTACCATTATTGATCTGGGAGGTCGTTACCATGGTTTGTCCAGTCTGTAAATATTGAATGAGCTGTACATGTAGGGTTTGTGCACTTTTCTGTATGAATATGATCTAAAGTAGTTTACTAAAAATTATAGAGACTATTTATAATTAAGATGTTTTTATCTTCTGGGGAAATATTAACTCTATACAATCAAAAACCTACATCATCTTGAATGCTATATTTTTGTGTGTGGGTTTTTTTTTTAAAAAAAACAGCAACACAAATTTATTGAATGCTACCTTTGAAGTCAAAACCAGAAAAGGAGCAGAGTAGCTTTAAAATGAATTTTAAAATAATTCATGCCAATGTTTTAAATGCTCTTCAAATGAGATGTAGACAGGGTAAATGCAGTGATATTGCAGCAGGTAGGATAACTCATTTATTAAATATATTCTATTCTGTCAAATACCATTAAGAATAAAAAAGGCTGCCTCTAGAAGATATTAGTGCTTTATAATATATTTTCATTTGTAGTGCTTTAGTTATCTGAATGCTAGAAATTTCTTGTGAATTATCTTGTTTTGTATTTAAAGATTCTCTTTGTTCAAAGTCTATTTGGTTTCTGAGTTCAGATACTAAAGAATATGATTTGATTTCCAAGTTTCAGAAAGTGAGTAACAAGTTTGAATAAGTATTTATTAGAAACAATTTGTTCCTAAATTCAGATTGTGATCATTTTTTTCAATTGATTACTAAATTTGATTTGCTAATTTATAACATCACATTTTCATAACTGATTCTGGACATTCAGTTTGACTATTTAACAAGGCTAGGATTAGGAGCCCCCACCCTCCAACTGTCAAAAATCTGCTTATAACTTTTGACTCCCTCCAAACTTGACTACAGTTTGCCCTTCACATCTGTGGATTCAACCAACTGTGGATCAAAATCTGTTGGGAATTTTCAAACAACTGTTGGGAATGCAAAAATACTATTTTCAAGCCATAGTTGGTTGAATCTATAGATTCAAAACTGTGGATACAAAGCACTGACTGTATTTATTATAAAAAATCTGTGTGGAAGTGAACCCATACAGTTCAAATCTGTGTGTTTGAAGGTCAACTGTATTTCTTTGTGTTCTCCTAGATAGTTTTAACATTAGAATTATGAAAAATTCATAAACATAGATAACTTGCTATCTAATATCTCAGTCTGGAAGAGTTCCCAAACGTTTCATAGGTTTTATCTATAAATATATCTAGGATGATGTCTTCTTTAGTAGCTATGTGACATTTAAAGTATTTTTTAATCTTTAACTTTTATTATTATTTAACTTTTATTAATAAAAGGTTTAACTTTTATTATTCATTAGTATGCATTTTTTAATCTATTTTTAATCACCGAAACATTTTTATCACTGAAAAAGATCTAGTCCTTTCAAATGTAAATATGTGGTCATGTCATTGTCTCATTCACAATGCTATTTGTCATCCTTACTTCCTTACATGAATCACTAAAGTTTGTCTTTTTTTCAGTCAAATCATAAAAATTTCTATTTTAGATTACTTTTTTTCTTTTACTTATTTATGCATTTTATAACTAATAATGCCTTCTCTACCCCATGTTTGAGATTTTTTTGTTTGTTTTAGCTCCTTGGGTTATATATTGATTTTGTTTCTTAATGATCTTTCTAATATTGTAATACACACACACACACACACACACACACACATTATAAAACACCCTATATAACTTTGATTGCCACTCACAGGTTTTTCAATTGTTCTCACTTTTGTTCACATTTAAGTAATGTGTATAATAAGGATTTAGTTCCTTAACCAGTTAACTGCCATGATATTTTTTATTTAATTAAAAAAGGTCCACCACTTGTGTCTATAGACGCTTATGTGTACAAATGGTTAACCCATGTTGATCAAGGGGGCAAAACATTTGGCCTATATATTTTCTGCTTTGGGGGAACTAATTACTAGGAAAAATATTTTCATCATTTCCTACTTTAACACTTGTGCTTTCACCTACCAATCATTATATCCATAGGGTTTAAGGCTAGTATTCATCTTTGTGCAGCATAAACGATGAAGTCTGAATTGAGACTACTCACACAGTTTTCCTTTTCCTTTTAAAAACCCATGCTGAATAATGAGTGATGAGAAAAGCTTTCTTATACACATTACACTCATTTCTTTTTTCATTGCACATTCTTTGATTTATACAAAGGTAAACAACATGGTTTAAATCCTTCCCACAAATAATAAGGTAATTATGAAAATTAGTATATCAATGATAAAAATGGACAACTTTTACTAAGCACTTAGTATGTGATATAGTCCTAATACTTTAAATTTATTCATTCATTGAATCCTCATAACAAACCAATAGATATAGCATAATTATATTTACTGTACATGAAATAAAACATATGAAATACCACTAACACCTATCAAAAAAAAGTAAAAAAAAAAATCTAGAAGGATGACAACATTTTTATAATAGTGGTTAAAAACCTCCTAGTATGAGATTGGGATTAGGGCTAATGAAAAGGAACATAAAAGTTTATAAGGAAAAGATGTGGATAATTTCAGCAATTAAAATACATTTTTTTAAAAGAAAAACACAAATCCAAAGATAAATTTTGGGTCATACTACTCAGGGCATGTGAACATTTAGATGCAACCATAACATGAATAATAAAGCCATTTAAAAAAGTCATTGAGTATAAGTCAGTAAAAATAAAAAATCTACATTTGCTGAAATGGCAATCATATTTTTTGGCATGTTAAGAGCAGGTGAAGATACAATATGCATACCATGACTACACTTTCTTTAAAGACAAAGTATGGTGGGATGTACTCTACCAACTTGAGAGTAGTCATCTATAGTTACTCTGATTACAATTAATATTTGCTTTTTGGTTTCTGGTTTTTTTAAGAAAATATAAATTTCTGAGACAAAAATATTAACACTGATTTCAAAAGCAAGTTAAATTTCTACAGGAATTAAAAATACAAGATCACATAATTTAAGCACAAATATATAAATCAGAACAGAAAAAAATAGCTCTGAAACACAAGCAAATATAAAGAATAATATAACATTAACACCAAGAAGGTAGGACAAAATAATGGGAAAGAAAAGAATTACTGAACATCTGCCATTAGTACAATATTGGGGAAGCATGGATAAATGTCAATATAGGCTCTCTCTCTCTCTCTCTCTCTCTATATATATATATATATATATGGTAATTATGAAAATTGGCATTTATATGAATGAAAACAAATAGTGAAAGATGGTAACTTTCTAACATTATTTGTTGTTTAAAATATTAGGAAGAGCTTTAACTTTTATTATTCATCAGTATGAATTCCCTGATGACGAATGAGATCTGACCCACTACTAAATGCCTTCCCACATTCCCTACAGTTATAGGGCTTTTCACCAGTATGAATTCTCAAATGTCGAGTAAGGTTTGAGCATTTATTAAAAGCCTTTCCACATTCATTACATTCATAAGGTTTTTCATCTGTATGAATTCTCTGATGTTGAAAAAGTTGTGAGTTCTGAGTAAAGGCTTTCCCACATTCAAGACATTCAAAAGGTTTCTCACCAGCATGAATTCTCTGATGTTGTCTAAGTTGTGAGCTCTGAGTAAAAGCCTTGCCACATTCCTTACAATTATAGGGTTTTTCCCCAGTGTGGATTCTCTGATGATTAGTAAGTGCTGAGCCACTACTGAAGGCTTTGCCACATTCCTTACACTCATAGGGTTTTTCACCAGTATGAATTCTCTGATGCTGAACAAGCTTTGAGCTCTGAGTAAAAGCTTTGCCACATTCCTTACATTCATAGGGTTTCTCACCTGTATGAATTCTTGCATGTTGAAAAAGTTGTGAGCTCTTAGTAAAAGCTTTCCTACATACTTTACATTCATAGGGTTTTTCACCAGTGTGAATTCTCTGATGGTCAATAAGATTTGAGCAATAACTAAAGGCTTTCCCACATTCCTTACATTCATAGGGTTTCTTACCAGTATGAATTCTCTGATGTTGAGAAAGGTATGAGCTACAACTGAAGGCCTTTCCACATTCATTACATTCAAAGGGTTTTTCACCAGTATGAATTTTCAGATGTCGAGTAACATGTGAGCCACAGCTAAAGAATTTCCCACACTCCTTACATTCATAAGATTTTTCACCATTATGAATTCTTTGATGTTGAATAAATTGTGAATTCTGATTAAAGACTTTCCCACATTTCTTGCATTCGTAAGGTTTCTCTTCATTATTAATTATTTGATGCAGAGTAAAGAATGTCTGTTGAATATATGTGGGCATATATCCATGAGTAAGTATTTCTTGGCTGAAATGATCATTCTGATATCCCAGTTGTCTTTCAAGGTGGCTGCCATATTCCAAAACATCTCTATAATGAGAATACTCGAGGCCATACTTTGTAAGTCCCATTATCTCCCTCTGGCATGATTCTATTTCATAAACTTCCTTCTTTAGAGATAATAACTTGGTTTCACACATTGACTCCAGATCTGAAAGAAAATAAAATAGCAAATATTATTTCTGTCCCATTTGTGAAAAGTTAAACTTTTATAATAGATATGAAAAAAATTTAAGATATCTGGTAGTAAATGACATACAGTTCTCAAGTATATTTGTTTAATCTGAAAAGTGGACTAGAAATGTATAGAATGTAGTGAGATATAGTCATCCATGTACCCCATAATGACATTTTAGTCAAATTTGGACCATATCTGCAGTTGTGGTGTCATACTATATAATAAAAGGGTAATATGCAAATTGACCAAACGGTGGAACAACCAGTTGCTATGATGAGCACTGACCACTACGGGGCAGACGTTCAATGCACGAGCTGCCCCCTGGTGGTCAGTGCACTCCCACAGGGGGAGTGCTACTCAGCCACACGCTGGGCTCACAGCTGGTGAGCGCAGCTGCGGTAGCGGGAGGCTCTCCCACCTCCGTGGCAGTGCTAAGGATGTCCAACTGCCGGCTTAGGCCTGCTCCCCATGGGCCTAAGCCATCAGTCAGACATCCTCTGAGGGCTCCCAGACTGTGAGAGGGTGCAGGTCAGGCTTAGGGACCACCCCCCCCCCCAAGTGCACAAATTTTGTGCACCGGGCCTTTCGTAAATACATAATGGAACTGAAAAATTCCTATTGCCTAGTTACATCCTAGATGTTCTAAGGTTGTGCTGCAATATACTACTCATGTTTGTGGTGAAGCTGGTGTAAACAAACCTACTGCACTTCCAGCTATATAAAAGTATAGCACACACAATGACAGTAGTAAGATATGTCATCTAGGTTTGTGTAAGTATACTCTATGATGTTCACACAGTGATGAAATCACCTAATGATAGTTTTTCAGAATGTATCCCTGTTGTTAAGTGGTGCAGGACTGTATAATGCAGAAAGCGGAAAGAAGAGACTATGGACATAGAAAACTACAATCCTTCTCAAATACTCATATGAATCAGAATCATCTGGAAAGACTGGTAAATATACAATGTTTAAGCATATGAAAAAATGACTAGTTTTATATACATCTATATAAGCATGCGTGTATGCATATATATTATAAAAACTGGATAATTTTCTGACCTCCATTAAAGTCTCTTGAAAGAAATAAATCCATAGAGGGGAAGATTCTTGGTTTTTGATATAATAAAAAAAAAGAATTTGGTCTTTGTACCTGGTTCCTATCACAGAGCTTCAACAACTCTTGGAATTTCTTGTATGATAGAAGTATTTTTGTTATGCTAATCAAGTCAAACATAGTAGGTCCAAAGATAGCTTTGGGATAGACATTGGTCACCAGAAAGACCAAACATGTGATTAGAAGTTTAGGACTTTCATCTTCTCAACTTCTGGAGAGATAAAAGGAACCAGAAATTGAGTGGTCAATGACTCAATTAATCATGTGAATATAAATAAATCACAATAAAAATTCTGGACACTAAAGCTTGCTACCTGAACACACTGAAATGCCAAAAGGGTGATGCATTTTGACTCAACAGTGATAGAGGGTATGGAACCTCTGCATCTGGGAGCCTCACAGACCTTAGCCTAATATATATCCTTTACAGTAAAACTGCAACTGTAAGTATAGAGCTTTCCAAGTGCTGTGTTATTCCAGCAAATCATTAAAACTGTAAGAGTCATGGAAAGCCCCAACTTTACAGCCAGTTGGTCAGAAGTATGGGTGTTCTGAGGATCCCCTGAGACTTACAGCTGGCAGTTGAAGTAAAGGCAGTATTGCGTAGGATTTTGCTATTAATCTACGGGGTCTATGTCAACTCTGGGTAGTCAGTGTTAGAATTAAACTGCTGCACACTCAGTTGGGGCAGAAACAGTAGGCTCCATAATAAAGGATATATTGGATGGAATATGAAAGAGATTACAGAGGGCAAGCCACATGAGGGAATAGCCTGAGATAAGTCTAAGGGTTGAACTATTTTGACGTGAGTGGTGGATAGGGAAGACTCAGAATCTGTTATGCGCTAGGGATTAAGTGAAACTATTGTTTGCCTTAGAATTTTGTGATGCTTATTTTAGAAGAAGAGAGACACTTGCTCATTACCACCTGTAGTGACTGAGAGGAGTGGCAGCTGAAGTTTAAGGCAGACAGAAAGAAAATGACAAAGTGCCAAACACTGCAATGGAAAGATGATAGGAACAAGAAGCCGACTGATAAGCTGAGTACCAACTCTGACACTTACTCATTATATGTTCCTAGGCAATTATTTAACCTTTCTAAATCCCCACTTCTTTATCTGTAAAGATAAAGAAATGATTACTGGAAGGGTGATGAAATGTTTGTAATTATCTCTCAATAAAGTGTTTAGTATTTGACAGGTATTATTATGAAAGAATTTCTTATCAAAAAGTAGAATTTTTAAGCTAATGAAATGATTTGAAGACATCAAAATAGAGCCTATTAGAACATCTCTAGTATAATCTTTTTTACTCGTACCTCTATATAACCTTTCAACAATTTTAAGCTCCAAAGTAACTTAAAACTATCCTCTTCTATTTCCACTGTTAATGCCCTCTTCCAAACCAGAATTATCTCTTACTCAGACCACTAAAATAGCCTCCTAACCCAGTTTCCCCAGCAAGTTTCACACTCAGTAATCTATTCAGGGACCAAAAATGCACTTGGCTTGGCCTTCTACTACAAAAATCCATACTTTTCATAATGCCAGCAGAGGCTGAGTAATGTGGTTCCTACCTGTCTCTCCAACCTCGACTCACATTTCACTCTTGCTTGCTCATGGGGCCCAGCAATACTGGCTTTCTTTCAGTTCTTCAAACACACCAAGCTTTCCCCTCTTAGAAGGGCTTTCACAGGGGTTCTTCCCTCTTCCTGGAGTTTTCTTCTTTATTAACACACTGAATAGTAAGATCTAGCAGTAAACCTAGTACTACAGTAGTTATGAAATAGTGATGAGCACAAATAATAATTCAATATGTTGATTTCCATTCATGTCAAAATCATGGAACTAATACTATTATGGTTTGCTGCATAAACCATAATTGGAAGAAATACTAAGTTTCACTTAGAGTTTACTAAATATCAATATTTTTCTATGTTTTTAGAGATGGAGGGAAAGAGAGAAAAACATTGATGTGAGAGACATTGATTGACTGCCTCCTGTGCAAGCCCCAACCAGGGGCTGACCCTGCAATCTAGGTATGTGCCCTGACTGGGATTCAATCCCATGACCTTCTAGTGCATGAGATGACTCTCCAACCAACTGAACACTGGCCAGGGCAAGATGCGTTTTTCTCCTTCTCATCTAAGTTCATTGACTCCCTAAATTCTATACAAAGAAATCCAAAATTAGCAATCTCTGAGTTAGAGTATTTCTTTAAAAACATGTTGTCACTCCTCTGCTCAAATCACCTCATTCAGAATAAAATGGCTTTACACCTACCTCATTTAGAGCAGAATTCAAAGTCCATACCTAAGTCCACAAAATCCAAATCACCTGCAGGTAGACCCTTCCTCCCACATGTACCTAGCACACCAACATCCCATACATTCTGCTACTTTGCTGATCTCCTTTCACACAATTCCCTCTTGCTCACACAATGGCAGAAGCCCAAATGCTGGAAGCTATACTGAAGACTATTACTTAGAGGGGAAGAGCAGTGCATATATACAAATGCATGTGCGCACACACACACACACACACACACATCTTATTTTGGGGGGGAGGGGAAGAGCAGTGCATATATACAAATGCATGTGTGCACACACACACACACACACACACACACACATCTTATTTTGGGGGTGGTAACAGAAAACATTTAGATGAGTCTAAGAGAAAGAAAGGCTAATAATGAACGGAAACTTAAATATAAGTAAAAGTTTTCTTTGGAGGGGAAGTGAAGGAAACCTTCTACTTGAAATTAAGTGGTGTGTTAAAGAATAATAATAAAAAGATTAGTAAGTGAGGGAAGAAATGAAATAGGTCATTTATAAACTCATGGTAAAAAAAAACACAAAAACTTATTTTTTCTCCCAGGCCTAGTGTTTTGATGGGAGCTTGTAAGATAATATCTTAAAGACACTGTTTCCTTACTGATCAGCTAAGTTATTACCTATAATGCCCTGCTTTGTTCAATCATTTCTTACTTACCTGAACACAGGCCTCTTGTCAGTTCTCTGCCAACCATCCAGGGCTCTTTCCCTTGTTCCAATAAGGAGATAACATGAGGCTTAGGTATGTAAAGTCCTGCTCACAAGAAAAGATACAAAACATGGTTATGCTATGGGTAAATCAGATCCATGTAAGATGCAGTCCCTTGATGATCAAAAAAGAGATGCCACTACAGGAATAGCCAAAGAAAAAAGATGAAGCTTCAGCTATAGCCAATTGGAACTTTCAGTTTCCTATTCTTCCTTTTCATTTTAGTTCCAACCACTCATTTAGGAATAGAGAACAGGAATTCAGCTAGTAACTAAAAAAGCAGCTAAGAAATTCACTGTGGAAGAAAAAAGACATTCCAGAAGAGAACTCTAAATTATTGGTATAAATGACATTACCCACTGACAGCAGATTGCTGTAGTTCTCCAGCATTACATCTCTGTACAAGTCCCTCTGAGCTGGGTCCAGGCATTCCCACTCCTCCTGAGAGAAATCTATGGCCACATCCCTGAATATCATTGATTCCTGAAACAATAAAGACATGTATACTTGTGTAATAAAAGAAACACTTCAGGCTTGTGTAGCCCGCCCGCATCCAAGGAACAGCAGCCTCCTGATCACCACACCCTCTGTCTGAGGAACAGCAGCTGTGTGTGAAGCCTCCACCGACCAGCCAGAGGAGCCACCACAACTGTGAACAGCACCCACCAGAGGAACTGCTGCCAACTGAGGAGCAGCTGCTACCACAACCACCCGAGGAGCAACAGCAGCCCAAGAAGGCACTGCCACCCAAGGAGCAGCCACTGAACGACTCAACATCTAGATATGGCGGTATGATCAAACATGGGTAGACAAAGAAACCCCCAAAGAAAAGAAAAGGAGGACTCGCCAGAAAAGCAGCTAAGTGATACAGAGGCATACAACATGACAGAAAAAGAATTCAGATTAAGGGTCCTAGAGTGCATAACCGGATGGAGGAAAAAAGCAACAACTTATGCAAGAAGCAAGAAGAAACAGATGAAAAAAATCAATAAATTATGTAAGAACCAAGAAGAAATTAAGAGTGATATAGCTGCAATAAAAAACACCATTAAAAGTTTCAACAGTAGACTAGGAGAAGCGGAAGACCGAATTAGAGAATTAGAAGACAGGGAAACAAAACACACCCAAACTGAACAGCAATTGGAGAAAAAAATTAAAAAACAGAAGAGCCTAAGGGAGCTATGGGACAACATGAAAAAACAACAACATACGAATAATAGGGTTGCCAGAACAACAGAAAGAGGAACAAGGGTTAGAAAACCTATTTGAAGAAATAATATCAGAAAACTTCCCTGAGGTGGGGAAGAAAAAAATCACACAAGCACAGAGAGTCCCAAACAAGGTGAACCCAAAAAGACCCACACCAAGACACATCATAATTACCATGGCAAATGTACAGGACAAAGAGAGAATCTTACAGGCTGCAAGAGAGAGACGGAAAGTTACATACAAGGGATCTCCCATTAGATTATCAAATGATTTCTCAACAGAAACACATCAGGCCAGAAAAGAATGGACAGAAATCTACAAAGTGATGCAAAGCAAAGGACTGAACCCAAGAATACTCTATCCAGCAAGGCTATCATTCAAAATTGAAGGGGAAATAAGAAGCTTCACAGACAAAAAAAGGCTAAGGGAGTTCACCACCACCAAGCCAGCAATGCAAGAAATGCTAAAGGGACTGGTGTAAAAAGAAGAAATAAAAAGCCCAGAAAGAAAACAGCCACACAAAAAAAGAAATGGCTACAAACAAGTACCTTTCAATAATAACTTTAAACGTAAATGGACTAAATGGTCCAATCAAAAGACATCGAGTGGCTGAATGGATAAAAAAACATGACCCATACATTTGCTGTCTACAAGAGACCCACCTCATTAGAAGGGACTCACACAGACTGAAAGTGAAGGGATGGAAAAATATCTTTCAGGCAAATGGAAAGGAAAAGAAAGCTGGGGTAGCAATACTTATATCAGACAAAATAGACCTCAAAGTGAAGGCCATAACAAGAGATAAGGAAGGCCACTTCATAATACTAAAGGGATCAATACAACAAGAAGATATAACCCTGGTAAACATATATGCACCCAATGCAGGAGCACCCAAATACATAAAAAAACTCCTGGAAGATATCAAAGGAGAGATCGACAACAATACAATCATAGTAGGGGACTTTAATACACCACTGACACCACTGGATAAGCCCGCTAGACAAACAATCAGCAAAGAAACAGCAATCCTAAATGACTCACTAGATCAGATGGACTTAATTGACATCTTCAGAACACTTCACCCCAAAGCCATGGAATATACATTCCTCTCAGGTGCTCATGGGACATATTCAAAAATAGACCACATATTGGGTCACAAGCAAAGTCTCCACAAATTCAAGAAGATTGAAATCATAAAAAGCTTCTTCTCAGACCACGATGGCATAATGTTAGAAATAAACTACAATAAAAACAACCCAAAATACTCAAACACTTGGAAGCTGAATAGCATGTTATTAAATATTGATTGGGTTACCAATGACATCAAAGAAGAAATTAAAAACATCCTGGAAACTAATGACAATGAAAACACAACAATCCAAAACCTATGGGACACAATGAAAGCAGTCCTGAGAGGGAAGTTTATAGCTCTACAGGCCTATCTCAAAAAACAAGAAAAAATGGTAGTAAATCATCTAACTCTACAACTCAAAGAATTAGAAAGAGAGCAACAAGAAAACCCCAGAGTGAGCAGAAGGAAGGAGATAATAAAGATTAGAGCAGAAATAAATGACATAGAGACCAAAAAAACAATACAGAAAATCAATGAAACCAAGAGCTGGTTCTTTGAAAGGATAAACAAGATCGACAAACCTCTAGCCAGGCTCACCAAGAAGCAAAGAGAGAGGACCCAAATAAACCAAATCAGAAACGATAGAGGCGAAATAACAACAGACCCCACAGAAATACAAATGATTGTTAAACAATACTATGGACAGCTCTACTCCAACAAACTAGACAACCTGGAGGAAATGGACAAATTCCTAGGAAAGTACAACATTCCAAAACTCAATCAGGAAGAATCTAAAAACCTCAATAGGCCAATAACTATGGAAGAAATTGAAGCAGTCATCAAAAAGCTCCCAGCAAACAAAAGCCCAGGACCAGATGGCTTCTCAGGGGAGTTTTACCAAACTTTCAAGGAAGAACTAAAACCTATCCTCCTCAGACTACTACAAAAAATTCAGGAGGAAGGAACACTTCCAAGCTCATTCTATGAAGCCAGCATCACCCTAATACCAAAACCAGGTAAAGACAACACAATGAAAGAGAATTACAGGCCAATATCCCTCATGAACATAGATGCCAAAATCCTCAACAAAATCTTAGCAAATCGGATCCAGCAGTACATCAGAAAGATCATACACCATGACCAAGTAGGATTTATCCCAGGAATGCAAGGATGGTACAACATCCGTAAATCAATAAACGTAATACATCACATAAACAAATTGAAAGAAAAAAACCACATGGTCATATCAATTGATGCAGAAAAAGCATTCGACAAAATCCAACACCCATTTTTGATAAAAACTCTCAGCAAGGTGGGAATAGAAGGATCATACCTCAACATAATAAAAGCCATATATGACAGGCCCACAGCCAACATCATACTCAATGGACAAAAACTAACACCATTTCCCCTAAGAACAGGAACAAGACAGGGATGCCCACTCTCGCCACTCCTCTTTAACATAGTCCTGGAAGTATTAGCCATTGCAATTAGACAAGAAGAAGAAATAAAAGGCATCCAAATTGGAAAAGAGGAAGTAAAACTGTCCTTATTTGCAGACGACATGATATTATACATACAAAACCCTAGAGACTCCATCAAAAAACTACTAGACTTAATACATGAATTTGGCAATGTAGCAGGATACAAAATTAACCCCAAGAAATCTGAGGCATTTCTATACACCAATAGTGAACTTTCAGAAAGAGAGATTATAAAAACAATCCCATTTACCATCGCACCAAAAAAATTAAGATACCTAGGAATAAACTTAACTAAAGAGGTAAAAGACCTCTACTCAGAAAACTACAGGACATTGAAAAAAGAGATAGAGGAAGACATAAAGAGATGGAAGAACATACCATGTTCTTGGATTGGTAGAATCAACATCATTAAAATGTCCATACTACCCAAAGCAATCTATAAATTCAACGCACTTCCCATTAAAATACCAATGGCCTACTTCAAAGATCTAGAACGAACTCTCCAAAAATTCATCTGGAATAAAAAAAGACCCCGAATAGCTGCAGCGATCCTGAGAAAGAACAAAGTAGGTGGGATCTCAATGCCAGATATCAAGCTGTATTACAAAGCCACTGTTCTCAAAACTGCCTGGTACTGGCACAAGAACAGACATATAGATCAGTGGAATAGAATAGAGAGTCCAGAAATTAGCCCGAACCAATATGCTCAATTAATATTTGACAAAGGAGGCAAGAACATACAATGGAGCCAAGATAGTCTCTTCAATAAATGGTGTTGGGAAAATTGGACAGATATATGCAAGAAAATGAAACTAGACCACCAACTTACACCATACACAAGAATAAACTCAAAATGGATAAAGGACTTAAATGTACGACAGGAAACCATAAAAATTCTAGAAGAATCCAAAGGCAACAAAATCTCAGACATATGCCAAAGCAATTTCTTCACTGATACAGCTCCTAGGGCAGTTGAAACTAAAGAGAAAATGAACAAATGGGACTACATCAAAATAAAAAGCTTCTGCACAGCAAAAGAAACCATCAACAAAACAACAAGAAAACCCACTGCGTGGGAAAACATATTTGCCAACGTCATATCTGATAAGGGCCTAATCTCCAAAATTTATAGGGAACTCATACAACTTAACAAAAAGAAGATAAACAATCCAATCAAAAAATGGGCAAAGGATCTAAATAGACACCTTTCAAAAGAGGACATTCAGAAAGCCAAGAGACATATGAAAACATGCTCAAAGTCACTAATCATCCGAGAGATGCAAATCAAAACAACAATGAGGTACCATCTCACACCTGTCAGACTGGCTATCATCAACAAATCAACAAACGACAAGTGCTGGAGAGGATGTGGAGAAAAAGGAACACTTGTGCACTGCTGGTGGGAATGCAGACTGGTGCAGCCACTATGGAAGACAGTATGGAGTTTCCTCAAAAAACAAAACATGGAACTCCCATTTGACCCTGTGATCCCACTTCTAGGAATATATCCCAAGAAACCAGAAACACCAATCAGAAAGGATATATGCACCCCTATGTTCATAGCAGCACAATTCACCATAGCTAAGATTTGGAAACAGCCTAAGTGCCCATCAGTAGATGAATGGATTAGAAAACTGTGGTACATCTACACGATGGAATACTATGCTGCTGTAAAAAAGAAGGAACTCTTACCATTTGCAACGGCATGGATGGAACTG